ATAAAAAGGAAACATTTATAAAGTTTACAAAACTATTTAAAACGAAAATATAAGTATATAGAAATATGGTTTCATAAAAACGGAAAGTTCACAGAATAGTAATATTTAATTTAAATATATTTTAAATAACATAAAATATACTTTTGAAGTAATAAAATACTTCATATCTATATCTTCTTAGATGAAAAACAATATTTGTATATAATGTGATTTCGTAAAAAAAATTCACACAACTAATCTTGATATTAGAAAAAGAAATATTTTTTTCTTTAAAAAAATAATTAAAAATATATATATATATGTATATATATTCAAAGTAATTATTTTTTTGGTATATATCTATCTATTTTATTAGATGATTACATAAAATAATTAAGTAACATAAACTGATATATATGTTTAATTGAATTATTTTTTATAATTTGTATTCTTGATATATGTTTAATTTAATAATTAGATAATTATTTATAGTTTTTATATTTTTAGTATATTTATTGGACTATAATATCTCACAATACAACAAAACATATAAATTCTATTTTACTTATATAATATAATTTCTCAAAAACAATAAAAAAAATTTACTGCATATTTTAACAGATATTAAAAACAAAACTAAAAATAAATTTTAAGATTATTTTTATTTATTAAATAACTACAATTATTTTAAAATATCATAACATTATATAATTTAACGAAGTAGATATAATATATTTTAATTTTTAAAATTATATGTTTTCTTAATAACTCTTTTGATTTTTAATTTCTGTTTTTATGTTTGTGGAACTTAATATAACCATAATCAAAATACTTAAGCAAATCAAAATCCTTATTTTAAAAATTATTTAAAATAAATTTCAGTTTTTCATCCAATCAATCTAAATATTGTAAATATTGATATGTGTTCACAAGCTTCAAAAAATGTATTAGTTACTTATGTATGTAATTTAGAATCAGACAGTTTAGTTTTAATTTTTTTATTTCTAAACACAAAAAATCTTAAGTTATACATAATCTTACTAGATATACTTATATTTCTAAGATAACAACCGACATAAATGCAAATAAGACAATTAATCAAAAATTTAATATATTTAGGATAAAAAAGATTATAGTTGAATTCAAAGAAATAGATAGAATCTAATATATCCAAATGATAACTAAATCAACCGTAAAAACAATAAAATTGACAAAGTATAACATATTTAAAATTATAGATATAATCAAATTAATATAATATTATTCATATAAATTATACCTACAAATTCTAAATTAATTTAAAATTTAAAGTAAATATCAATAAATTATTATAATATATTTATTTTATAAATATTTATGTCCGTGCATGAGCACGGGAAAATCACCTAGTTAATCTATATTTCCGTAACAAGTAATAATAAACTATCTGCAACATACAACTCAACGGATCATTTCGATGAAGTTTTCTCTTTTACACTCAGATTGACGGAAATTCTTCATGTACGACATCTTTGATGTACATGATTCCTACACATCACATAATCATATAATCACAAAAAAAATACATCATAAATTCTGCAATAAACTGCATTCTTTGTAATTCCAAACTTGGTGTAGAAAGATTTAAAACTTAAACATTAGGTTACGATTCTTCCACGCTATCAAGATATTTAAAAGGTTTTTGATCAAACAATCAATTTACTGAACAAATTTCATATCACATGTATCAACTTTCATGTAAATATCTAATCAAACTTTATTTCACCTGGTCTTTAAAGTAACACAAATAAAAATACATCTTATTAGAAAAAAGTGCATCAAATATTGGGGATATGATGCAATGCCGGTATCATAAATGGTTGGAAAATTGCCAGAAATAACACTTTCAAGATACCACTTTTCAACTTTACACTAACCAACTTTACCAAATTAAAATTTTAATACTCAAGATACTATTAGAATTTAGGGTTTAGGGTTTTGGGTTTAAGATTGATAGTTTAGGGTTTAGTGTTGATTTTTTAGGGTTTAGGGTTTAGTTTTTAGGGTTTAGAGTTTAGGGTTTAAGGTTTAGAATTGATATTTTAGGGTTTAGGGTTGATTTTTAGGGTTTAGGGTTTACTTTTTAGGGTCTAGAGTTTAGAATTGATGTTTTAGAATTTAGTGTTAATATTTTATTTAATATTTATTTTATGTATATATATAAAGAACAAGAATATAAGAGTCTTTTATCCTTTAATAAAATGTGTATTTTTGAAAATGTTCATTTGTTGATGGTAAATATGAAAAGTGGTACCACCAAAATGGTATAATTGAAATTCTTCCTAAATGGTTTATACTTCTCAACTGATCTTGATGTTTACACGCAGAAAAATGGGAGAATTTCAATTATACCACTTTGGTGGTACTATTTTTAAGTTTACCATCAACAAATGAACATTTTCAAAAATACACATTTTATTAAAGGATAAAAGACTCTTATATCCTTGTTCTTTATATATATACATAAAATAAATAAAATATTAACCCTAAACCCTAAAACATCAATTCTAAACTCTAAGCCCTATAAAGTAAACCCTAAAAATCAACCATAAACCCTAAAATATCAATACTAAACCTTAAACCCTAAACTCTAAATCCTAAAAAGTAAACCGTAAACCCTAAAAATCAACACTAAACTCTAAGCTATCAATCCTAAACCCAAAACCCTAAACCCTAAATTCTAATAGTATTTTGACTATTAAAATTTTAATGGTAAAGTTGGTTAGTGTAAAGTTGAAAAGTGGTATCTGGAAAGTGTTATTTCTGGAAATTTCCCCAGAAAAATACCCCGAATTATTTCAAGAAGATGAATAAAACTAAATACAGTTTAAAACTTGATAGGATTTTAACATGTTTAGAATCAAAAGAAGTTGTAGTTAAATTTATAAGAATATATGAAATAAACTATACCAAAATAAATAAATAAATTGATCCGAATTTTTGTACTCAAAGTCATACATCTTATTGGATATCAAGATATCAATGTACTGTACTTATTATAATCTTTTATTTTCTTTCACACATATACATCAGAAATTATTTGCAATCTATAAGAAATGATATTGTTAATCAATTGTTTTATAAATATTTATATACTAGGTTAGGATCCGCGCCTTGCGCGGAATGAATATTTTATATACATGAGTTTTACGTATTATATGTTTTTTACATATTATAAAATAATAAATATATATGGATAATTAAAAAATTATTAATTATTACGTATATAATTAATTTGGTGTAAACATATAAATACTTTTATTAATTTAAACAGATTTTTTTCTATTTTATATGATATACAATTAAGTTTAAATGATATTATCGTAGAAATATAATACATTTTAATATTTATATCGGTTAAATTATAATTTATACTCATATTATGTTTTTGTTCATTTTTATATTTTTATAACAAATATTTTATATCACTGATTAATTTTTTTTTGTGTTGGATCTTAAACATTTTTTAGTAATTTATAATTTTAAAAAATTATGCAAAGTTTAAAACTAAATATTAAGTCGTCAAAATTTGTTCAAAATTTTTATCAAAAAAAATCAAAGCAAATTAGAAATTAAAATACATATATATTTTATATGGTACATAATTTATTTTGAACAATATATATATATATATATATATATATATATTAAATGAGACTTTTTACTTATATAATTTTGTAATTATTTCTATTTTGTTATAAAAAAAATTAACCATAGATCACAAAAAATTTAATGTGAGATTTTTTAACAACTTTAGTCATTTATAGTTGTTTAAAAAAATTCAAAGTATAGCATATATACGAAAAAAACTAATTTTTTATTATATAGTTAATGTAGTTTTTTAATTTATTTTAATAAGTTAAAATTTTGAAAATACACTTATTTTATCAAATGTTTATTATCGAAAATTATTAATTATCATATATTATTTGACCATATTTGGCAATTCCGTTATTTTTATTTAAGGAAAAAATGAAAAAAATTACTAAGTCATTTATAATTAGTTTAATAAAAAATTTATTATATTTTAGATGGATAAACATATTTTTTTAAAGATTTTAAGAATGACTGTGGTAATGATACGTGTCTACAAAAAAGAAATGTTGTAGTGCTTCTTCTTTAAGATATAGGAGATGTGCATGAAACACAAAACAATCACCTAGTAAAAATATATATAATGAAAATAATTAAAGCTTAAAATCATAGTGATAGATTAAAAGTTATAAATGCTCGTACAGAAGCAAATATAGGAGTGTGAGCGGCACTGTGTCTATTTTCAAAACCAATCAAGGTCCACTTCAAATCTTCCTGGTCTTGATCCGTAATGCTTAGGGGTGGGCACAAACCAAGTACTTGTCATTTTTGGCTTACTTGGTACTTGGCTTGGCTTGTTCGAGTAATAAAATTTTGGACTTGTACTTGGTTTATTAAAAACGAGTACTTGCACTTTCAATTACTTGCTAAAAAATGGTATACTTGCAAGTACTTGCTCCATTTTACTACTTGTTGCATCTCAACTAATTTATAAATGATTATATAATTATTTATAAATTATTTAATAAAAGTTTGTTAACGTTTGCTACTTAAATCTTGTATAAGAATTTAAAAACATTTAGTTAATTATAATTATAATCTAAACAATTTTTAATAAAGAATATCTATTTACTTTTCATATGTTTTAAATCGATTTATGATAAATATAAAATTAAAAGAAAATTTTAAAATATTTCTATAATATATCACTTTTAATTTATTTGTTTTATAAACAAGTAATTTGATTATAATTTAGAGATTTGTTTGTCTAAAAATAAAAAACGGGTAATAAATCAAGTAATAAATCACGAGTAACAAGCCAACAACGCCAAGTAGTTATTTTTATTTTAGTACCTTGTACTTGTCTTGTACTTGTAAGTAATTGAAACAAACGACTTGATACTCGAATCGGACAAAATGAGTACTCGATTTTAAGAACCAAGTACGAATCAAGTAGCGATTTTAAGAACCAAGTACGAATCAAGTAGCGAGTACAAGCCGAGTAACAAGTAATTGTGCCCACCCCTAGTAATGCTCACTTTAGACAACCAAAACTTCAAATTTCTCTGTTTATATGATAACTTCTAAAGCGATGTGGCAGACACCACCACCACGAGTAGAGGTGCAGTCACTGGAACTAAAACCAACAATAACTTTATGGATAATACACAAAAGGGAGCAGAAAAACATTATGGTTACTTCTCCTATCTTGAGAAAACAAATTACATTCAGATTTTTATAAATACACAAACACACACAGACAGACAAACATTACTTAATATATCTAAAAGCCCTTTATCTTAAATATGTTCTTCTTTCTTTCTTTCTCTCTCACTCTCTTATTGTTTTCTTGAGATTTTATTTCAGTCAATCAATCGTCATTGGCTGACTCATGCAACATCTGAAACGGGCTTTTCTGGCTGTCGTCATTATCTCTGTTTCCGCAGCTTCAAGCAGACTCACAACCTCAAGAAAACATGGTCGCACTTCCGGGTTAGCATCCCAACACCGAGTCATGATCTCATTCAGCACCGGGAGACAATCGTTTGGGACCGTTGGTCTGACCCCTCGGTTAACCACAGCAAACGCAGCCTGTACAGCTGTCATGTTCTGGAACGGTAACAGTCCTGTGATTAACTCCCAAAGCACGATCCCAAAACTATACACATCCACTTTTTGATTGTAGGCTCTATGCTGTATCATCTCACTGCATCCATCAACAGATAAAGAATCAATATATATATGTAAATTGCAAATAGAATCAAGAATCAAGAATCTGTTTTGAAACTTACGGAGCCATCCATCTGTAAGTTCCAGTTTCTGGTGTCATTCCTTCGGTTTGAACTTCGATTCTTGCAACACCAAAATCCGCAATCTTGATTGACTTATCAGCAGAGATGAGAAGGTTATCTGACTTGAGATCTCTGTGAATGAAGTTGCGTCCATGGACATAAGCCATACCTCTAGCAACATCCAACGCTTGTTTAACAGCTAACTTCAAAGGCACTGCCCGGTTCTGTCTCTTCGTCAAGAACTGCCTCACGGAACCTCCTTTAGCGTACTCAGTCACTATACACCACACCATGGGCTTGCGACACGCACCGATGAACCTCACGATGTTCTGATGCTTCAAATTCGCAAGCATGGACACCTCTTGCTGAAACTGCTGTTCCATGAACTGTGCCTTTTCAGGACTGTTCTCTGGCCGCTCAAGTATCTTGATGGCTACATCCTCCCCATTGTAAGTCCCTTTGTATAATTTACCAAAAGCCCCTTGAGCAAAAGGAGGACCCATGTGGAGTTTCCTCAGATCAATCGTCCACTCTTCATAGTTGGCCAGCCCTTGTGTTGGGTACCTTCCATCCATCAGCGCTTGAGCTAAGGCATCATCGTTCATGGCGTGTGTAACTTTCCCGGGGCGAAACACGCTTTGCCCAACGGAGAGTGAGTAGACGTTGTTGCGCAGTGGCTTCAACCCCGGGTGGCCAATGAGAGCGTCGCTTGAACCAACGCTACTGTTGTCAACAGACATAGACACAGAGCCTCCAGCGTTACTCGTCTGCATACTCTCCATGGACATGTTGGAACCTTCGTTAAGCTTTTGGTAAAACTCTTGCGTGAAAGCATAGTCGTTGTTGTGGTTCCCAACAGCTAACACGTTGAACTTTGCTCCTTCCAGCATATTTTCCAGTTTAACGTGTTAAGATTCTCTGACCAAACTGCAAGTGCACACATAAAAAAATCTTTAGAACTAAACAAGACACAAAGCAATCACTAAAACATACACCAAAGGCATAGAGATAAACTAATCATCAAGGTGGGTTTACTTTGTAAAGAAACTTACTAGTGAAATGAAAGTAAGAGCCTTTGAGCTTTTGTTGCTTCTTGGAGACCTTTGACCTGTAAATTCAAAAAGCTCTACACCATGCACTCCCTGAGATAGTGAAAACAAATAAAGAAAGCAAGCACACAAACTTAGGTTAACTCTTTACCTGAGATTAGAATTTCAATTCCTTCAAAAAATTACAGAGAAAAAAGAAAACAATTTTGATAGCTACATACTAAAAGAGACATTGGCTATGAATTCGAAACCAAGAAGACAAAAAAAAAGTAATGCACAGATCCAATAAGATCTTTAAAACAAAGATAAGACAAAGCAATCACTACAACATACGCCAAAAGCAGAAAGATGCTAAAAATAGCATGTTCTAATTAATCATCAGAAGCTGGTTTACTTTAAAAATAAAAACTGAAAGCAAGAACCTTGAGCTTGTATTTCAAAGAGCTCTCCACCATGCACCGCCCTTAGATAAATAAGCTAGTGAAAACATAGAAATCAAGCAAGCACAAAAACTTAGGTTATATATTTACAATTAGATTCGACTTTCATTTTCCCCAAAAAATTACAGAAAAAAAATGAAAGAAATTAAATTTGATAGCTAAGAGAAAAAAGAGATTAGAACATACAAAAGTAACACACAGATCCGATGATTCAAGTAGGGTAGAAGATAGAAGTTAGGGTTTACCTCTAGAGCTTTTCTAAATACACGCGCCTTTCTCACCCGGTGATGAGTAAGAAGATCGTAGAGAAGACAAACATCGGATTCAACTTCAAGCAATTACTTTACCCCTAACTCATCGAATCGCAAAACCTTAACCTCCGATTCAAATCAAATCCAGAGATTTGAAAAAATCAGAAACCTAAGATTGAGGAAGAAGGAGATGATGATGATGAGGAAGAAGAAGAAGAAGAAGAAGAAGACGCGTCAGTCTTCGTTTCCCATTTACTTTCCCACCTCTCTAATTTTTTTTCCTTTTTTTTTGTTTATTTATTTCTTGTAATTTATTGGTAAATTCCTTTTCATAGTCCCACCCTCACTCATTGTACCTGTGTCACACGCGCTATCACAAAACCTAAGTAATAGCGGTATCACACGCGTTGTGACAAAACATAAAGTCTCGATTAGCAAAACATTATATGCATCATGTTTCTTATTATTTAATCAATATTTGTTAGAAAAATATTTGATATAGAAAAAATATTTATCAAATGCTATTACTATCCAAATGTCTCTGTACTATCATAAAGAGCTTTTATTAGAGTATTTGTATTTATAATTTACAAAATTAAGAAAATATATGATTTATTTATTATATATAATAATAGCATAAAATTATGTTTAAATCCAAAAATAGAATTTATATTTTTCTAAATCATTTTTAAAAAATATATTTTTAAACAATAATAATATTTCACATCTAAACATAAAATTTATTTTTTAATAATTTTTATAATAAATTATATTTTTCATTGTGAAATATTTTTTAAACTAAAAATGTTTTAATTCTAAAATTTTCTTTTTTAAAAGATAAAATTTATTTTTGAAAAACTATTTAGTACTATTTTATTTTTCCACAAAAGAAAGACTCCAAATTAAAAATGATGAAAATATGTTTTATTAAACGTAAATATAACATTTAAAATTTTAGGTTAATTAATCCTAGATTTTGAGTTTTTCAAAAATAGAAAATAAATATTACATTTATAAATAAAAATTTTGAAAAATAGTTTCTAAAAGTATTTCAAATTTCAAAAAGCAAAATTTGGGAAAGAAATATTTTTTTATAAAAAGCAAAATTAAATTTATAAAAAATTGAAACTTGAAAATATATAATTTGACATTTATATATCTATTAAACAAATGGTAGAATGGTCTTTTACATTTTTAATAAAATTTCGTTTGGTCATTTTTTTTAAAGAAAAAACTTCATTTATGATAAAAAAAAACTATAAAAGAGTTATTTAGAAAATATTCTTTATTTTTAAATTTAAAGATAATTTTTATATTTTTAAATAAAATAAATATATTTATATTTAAAATTTATATTATATATTATACACAATAATTTTAATTAGTATGTTGCTATTATTTTGTCAGTTTATCAAATAGTTTAATGAAAATATATAGTTTCTGCGAAACATTAATTCTATAACATATTGATACTATTTTATCATCCGCTTGATTTGAAGAGTGTGTTTATTTGTTTTACGAAGGTCGCCCTATGAGGCAGCGCTTTGTCGTTTTGATGAGACGGCAACCTTATTCATTTTTTATTCGCGCTAGTTTCCTTTTAAACAATTTTATTACTATATAGTTAAATGCCAAGCTTTACTTTAACTAATGTTTGACTGCTAAACGTTTTTGTTATAGAGTTATTCTTACGTTCACCCCCTAGGGTGAACCTCTAGGTTCAACAACCAATAGGATGGTGTTATTTTATATTTGATATCTTTTTAAAAAGGAAATAAAATATTGTTAAGTTATATTATATTTTTAAAATAAAAGTACAAAAACTAAATAAAAAATAATAATATTACACAAACGAAAAAAAAAACTTTTTAAGAAAATATTTAACACTAAAACACTAAACCCTAAACTCTAATCATAAAGCCTAAACCCTAATACTAAATCCTAAACCCTAATCCTAAACCCTAAACCCTTGGGTAAATCATAAACCCTTTGGAAAAATCTTAACCCTTGGGTAAATTAATACTAACTAGATACTATTTTTTATTTATTTTTATCTTTTTATTTTAAACACATGTTTTTATTTTAAAGATATATTAAAATATTCTTTGTTTTAAATTATTTTGTGCAATTATTAATGTTTTATTTTATTTTAAAACATAATATAATGTTAAAATATTTTTTAAATATTATTCTGTAAATATTAATATTTTTATTTATTTTTTCTATTTTTATTTTAAGAACATAATATAACTTGACAATTGTTTCCTTTTTTAAAAGTTATCAAATATGAAATAACATCATCCTATTGGTTGGTGAACCTAGAGGTTCACCCTAGGGGGTGAACCCAAGAATAAGTCTTTGTTATATGAAAATAATATTTTAAAGTTCTAATACAATTTATACTTAGAAAAATCATATTAGTAATAAAATATATTTATTTTAGAAATAAAAACTATTATCTCAAATATTGATTATCAAATGTAAACAACACAAATGTGAATGCATCCATAACTGAAGAATGTATTCTTTATAATCTCTTCTAATTCTTTGAAAAAACCAGGAAGTCACGAATCAAGCCTTATATCTCATAATCTTATTTTTCTCATTTTGCTTTCGAACATAAACTCATTTGTATCTAATTGATTTCATGACTTCAAATATGATTCCAATATGCCTAGCTTTTGTTTGTTAAGCGTAGGCTGAGCGTTTTGGATATCGGTTCGGGTATTTTCAGTTTCGGATAATTCGGATAGAAGGTTAGAGGATCCATTTACTACTTGACCTATTTTTGGTTCGGTTTGGTTTGGATAGTTTCGGGTCGGTTCGGTTTGGATAGTAAAACTAGGAACTAGAAAATACCTGAAAATTCGGTTCTCATTTGGTTCTGGTTTGGATTCGGGTAGTTCAGATAAATTATCGGTTATTTAGGATAAAATATCAAATATTAAAATAATTTAGATACAAATGTTGGATACTTCGAATTACTTTGGATATTTCGGATAGAATAATCCGTATTCTTTTGGGTAATTCGGATAGTTTATAATTATTTAGTTATCTTCAACTATTTTGGATACTTTTAATAGATTTTTAAATTAAAATAATATATTTAGTTATGTTATATGTATTTAAAATTAATATTAGTATATATTTGGGTATCCGTTCTGTTCTCTATTCGGTTTCGGTTCGGTTTGGTTATTTTGGATATATAAATATAAGAACCGTTCGGATATTTGAAGATTTCGGTTCGGTTCCAGTTCGGATCTTCGGTTCCGACTTTTTTGCCCATAACTAGTTAAGCAAATCAAAATACTGCATCTTTTCCTTTTATCCAGTCAGGTCGTCTTTGACATTCAAAATTTTATTTTGGGTTCTAGACTCACACTCTTTATTATTTTTTCTTTGAAAGTATGATTAAAAACATATCTTCATACATTTTGGTTTGATTCATATTTGGGAAATTTGCCAAAAGAGGACTAAGAAACACAATTATTGTCTCCTTAGAATAAATTTCATGATTCATGTCCCCTTAGAATAAACTATAATGAAAATCCAATTTAGTCCTTAGTATTTAATGCAACTTTTGTATTTTCTTATTAATCACAAAGAAGATATATATTTATAGTATGAGAGCATTAACAATGAATGACAATGACTCTGCTGGTAAGCTACCTCTACTTTCTCCCTCTAAACCTGGGTTCGAGCTTCAGGGTATGGAAGTTTTTTTTTTTTTAATTCGAAGCTCTGGATATTGATTATTTGAATCTTTGTACTTTGTTAGAAAGAAATACTATTTTATAAGATTTTAAAGTTAATAAAATAATAAAACGTAAATGTTATATAGTAATCATCTTTTAAAAGAACAAAAATCATGTTACAAAAATCTTGGTAAATCCATACCCTAAACAATAATGAAACCCTATACCCTGCCTAAGTAAAGAAATAAGATAAACCATACCCTAAACTCCTATCTCTTATTTGAATCTTTGTACTTTGTTAGAAAGAAATACTATTTTATAATTTTGCAGATTTTAAAAGTTAATAAAATAATAAAATGTAAATGTTATATAGTAATCATCTTTTAAAAGAACAAAAATCATGTTACAAAAATCTTGGTAAATCCATACCCTAAACAATAATGAAACCCTAAACCAATAATGAAACCCTAAACAATAAGAACAAAAATCATGTTACGTATATCATCTACCCTAATTTGGTCACTTTTCCTCATCGTCTTTCTTTCTTCTTTTCGAAAAATATGGCGAACATGAACAACATTGAAGGAATCCCTCGCAGATGCTGGTGTGGGAGGGGGATTGTCACTTACGTTTCAAAAACAAATGAGAATCCATACCGACGGTTTTTCAGATGTGAGATTGCTTTACAGGTAAATGTCATATATAAATACTTATCAATTCTTCTGTGTTGAGACTTAATTTGTTTTCTGTTCCAAACCAGAGAAAAAAGAGCAACATCTTTTTAAGTGGGTGGATGAGGCTCTGTATGAAGAGATTCAAAAGATGGATGACCATCAAGCGTTCATGGCAGAAGAAATTGAAGATCTGCGTGTTTCGTTGAAGATGGTGGAAGAAGAAGTTATGAAGCATAAAGCCTCTCGAGATGTTGGTTGTGTAGGATCCATTCTCAGTATTTTATGTCNTCTTTTTAAGTGGGTGGATGAGGCTCTGTATGAAGAGATTCAAAAGATGGATGACCATCAAGCGTTCATGGCAGAAGAAATTGAAGATCTGCGTGTTTCGTTGAAGATGGTGGAAGAAGAAGTTATGAAGCATAAAGCCTCTCGAGATGTTGGTTGTGTAGGATCCATTCTCAGTATTTTATGTCTCTGTTCCAAATTTGATTGATATTTTGTAATGTTTTTCTATTTCTATCTACATTGAATAAGAACAAGTAATGGATTTCTAGTGTTATTGACATGTTTCAAAGACATCTAAATTCAATATAAATAAAAAACACTGCTAAAATCAACATGAAACGGATCATGAGTATGAAAGATAACTTGCAGAAAAACAAAAAACAGAGGTTTATGCATAAAAAGATGTTAGAAAGTTTTTGAGTTAGGCGACTCAGTAGTCCCTTCTTCATTCAAGTCAAATTCGACGTTGATATTCTTTGTATCCACCTTAGATCGAACACACACACATAACCGCGTAGAAGCTCTGATCTTCAAATATGTTAGAAGTTTTTTG